ATATAATCAATGAAAAGAAATTAACATCACTTGCCTTTTCCCTTGCATATCGAATACCGTCTAGCCCCACGACTCACCCCCAGCTAAAATACCCAGGTGCGGATACTTGCCCGTTCTGTTACGCTGCTCGCTTCATCTCAGAGAACTTTTTCATCAAAAAGTAGCTCACACCCTAGATGGCGTCATCAGCTTCTTCTTCTTCTTCTTCTTCTTCTTCTTCTTCTTCTTCTTCTTTTTCTTCGCGTTCACCAGCTGTACACTCTGGCGGAAAGTTCTGGTTGCTCGTCCACTACTGAACTGCAGTCCTGCTCCAGAACCTGAGTGTTGCATGTGCATCAGTTTTACAAATCTCATTCTCTTGAATACAGACTGTTGGTTCCTTGCCTCTCCGGCAGATGCACTCCTACTTCAAAGGAAGCTCCCCAATTAGTCGACTCTTACGACATGCTCTAGGGGAGGCAGTAGATCTATTCTTGTTTTCCCCACAACGGAGCCCCGGAACCCACACGGGGGATAAGCTTATTAATCAAGACATTATGAAAGTGTACCAAGAACGTTATGTGCCTCCACACCCAAAGGTGCTGTACTGATTTGAGTTAAAAACGACATCATAGTGCATCCATAAATACTTCTTTCTCCATTATCCTAAGCAGCCAGGGAGCTTTGTTTCAGTATGAGAACTTACCAAAGGTAGGCAAAATACAAGACACAATACAAAAGACTAATGAAGTTATGATAATTGTGTTTTCAACTGAAAACATGTGTGTTCACTCCATCCTAATGCGGGATGCAATAAAAAAAAATTAGAGCCCAGCATCGGCTCATGTCTGAGTATTTAAATATAACCTAATGATTAAATAGGGTTTCTAGGACTTGTGCCTAAGTGATCCTCATCCACATGGTGGCACTTTGTGTCATCGGGGTTGATCTCTCGTTGTGCGGTCCTGGTGGGGTTAAATGTCGGTCATGTAGTCAACCATGTATGTGTTGTTCATCTATTATTTTCGTTGACGTGTGATCGCTTATGGCCCGGTCTCTCTCCAAAGAAAGGGCTAGCCGCCTGCTCCCTAGCTCCAGCGACAATCGCCATGGATCACTGTAAAAAGAAAAATCGCGCACATGAACCGAACGCCAAGGAGCATGGAAAAAAATTATCACCTTCAAATCACGAGAAACATGATTGAATCCATTGACCATTATAACCCATTATAAAGTAAGTGCCGACGAGCCGTGGTGAGTGCCAGTTTACTGAATTCTCTACGAGAAGTAAGACGTTTGTGAGAACCAAGTGCTGTGAATCAGCAGCCATAATCAGACTGCAAGAACAATAAGTTAAACGGCCAGACATCACTAGTATGCAGGAAGCCCCTCCCCCCTCCCCACCCGGCCCAAATACCAGTTTTTTTTTTTTTAAATCCAAGATTCTTTAACATAAAACTAGAGGCCAAATTTAATTTAGTAAGACATAAAAGATGTACAGAAAGTCAAACATGTGATTACAGAAAGAGAAGAGAATTACCGATCAGATCAGTAAAACTGATGTGCACGCACCACTAAGATTTTGAAACAACACTTAAGTCCAGAGGTGGACGAACAACCAGAACTTGTCGCCGGAATTTATAGTCGGTGAACGCCAAGAAGAAGAAGAAGATGAAGAGATGAAGAAGAAGAAGAAGAAGAAGAAGAAGAAGAAGAAGAAGAAGAAGAAGAAGAAGAAGAAGAAGAAGAAGAAGAAGAAGAAGAAGAAGAAGAAGAAGAAGAAGAAGAAGAAGAAGAAGAAGAAGAAGAAGAAGAAGAAGAAGAAGAAAAAGAAGAAGGCAGTATTAGTAGTTGTAATAGTAGAAAAAGCAGCAGCAGCAGCAACTACAGTAGCAGAAGTAGTAGTAGTTATTGTTGTTGTTGTGGTGGTGGCGGCGGTGGTAGTAGTAGTAGTAAATAACGCACTTGCTATCGTGATTTGAAATCTTAACTTCCTAATTTTATAGACCAATCGACGTTCAATGGGAGATAGAGTCAATATCATGAAATCGGCATATACTTCAAATACAGTTTACTGATATCAGTTTTTCGATCCGTGTTATCACAGAGGTTGCTTGGAAAAAATGCTAGGGAAAGAGGAATATAGAAAAAAAAATGCGGGAAAATTTTCTTCAAACCCCTAACAAGGCATTACACTTATTTTAATGCGTAATAATAATAATAATAATCTGCTCAATGCACATCAATATATCTTTAAAAATTTGAATCACATCATCAAATATTGGAAACTTGAACCTTTGTGTACTTATTTGGGCCTTAAATGATCTTATAGCAGTATAAACACTATACGATGTCATCTCACTTATTTAGAGACATTTCCCCCAGCCTTGGATGATCGTATGGCAGTATAAAGGCTACAAAATGTCCTCTAACTCATTCAGAGACATTTCCCGCAGCCTTAAATGAGTTTATAGCAGTATAAACTAGGGCTGTACCGAAAATTCGCTTCGTATTCGCTTCG